GTTTAAAAAAAAATGAACAAGTGTAATAATTGGAGGGACAAGGACCAAACTGACCAACTCCCAAACCGCAGCTCTTGTGGGATGTTCCTGGTCTGCGGTGGTCAAGACCGACCAAAAGTGGTCCAAGGAAGGAGAACTGGCCAACCGGTGATAGGGTCATGGGCAGCCAAGGCTCATTAATGGAGGTGGGGGGGCTCATTGATGGAGGAGGGGAGGCTCATTGATTGAGGGGGGGGGGCTCAACACAATGATGGAGGTGGTGGGGGGCAAGGCTCATTTATGGAGGTGGGGGGGCCAAGGCTCATTTATGGAGGTGGGGGGGGCCAAGGCTTACTGATGGAGGTGAGGGAAGGAAGGTTCACTGATGGAGGTCAGAGAGAGGGAAGGCACAATGATTGTGGTGAGGGGGAGGGAAGGCTCACTGATGGAGGTGGGGAGGGAAGGCTCATTGATGGAGGTGGGGGAGGGAAGGCTCATTGATGGAGGTGGGGGAGGGAAGGCTTACTGATGGAGGTGGGGGAGGGAAGGCTCATTGATGGAGGTGGGGGAGGGAAGGCTTACTGATGGAGGTGGGGGAAGAAAGGCTCATTGATGGAAGTGGGGAGGGAAGAATCATTGATGGAAGTGGGGAGGGAAGAATCATTGATGGAAGTGGGGAGGGGAAGAATCATTGATGGAGGTGGGGAGGGAAGAATCATTGATGGAAGTGGGGAGGGAAGGCTCATTGATGGAGGTGGGGAAGGAAGGCTCGTTGATGGAGGTGGGGAGGGAAGGGTAATTGATGGAGGTGGGGAGGGAAGGGTCATTGATGGAAGTGGGGAGGGAAGGCTCATTGATGGAGGTGGGGGAGGAGGCTCATTGATGGAAGTGTGGAGGGAAGGCTCATTGATGGAAGTGGGGAGGGAAGAATCATTGATGGAAGTGGGGAGGGAAGGCTCATTGATGGAGGTGGGGAGGGAAGGGTAATTGATGCAGGTGGGGAGGGAAGGGTCACTGATGGAAGTGGGGAGGGAAGGCTCATTGATGGGCGAGGGGGGGGGGGGGCACCTTGATGGAGGTAGGGAGGGAAGGGTCATTGATGGAAGTGGGGGGAGGGAAGGGTCATTGATGGAAGTGGGGAGGAAGGCTCATTGATGGAAGTGGGGAGGGAAGGGCTCATTGATGGGGGGGGGGACACATTTGATGAGGTTGGGAGGGAAGGCTCACTAATGGAAGTGGGGAGGGAAGACTCACTGATGGAGGTGGGGAGGGGGAGACTCACTGATGGAGGTGGGGAGGGGGAGACCATTGATGGAGGTGGGGGGGGAAGGGTCATTGTTGGGAAGGGGGCACATTGATGGAAGTGGGGAGAAAAGGCTCACTGATGGGGGGGGCACATTGATGATGAAGGTGGGGAGGGAAGGGTCATTGATGGAAGTGGAGAGGGAAGGCTCATTGATGGGGAAGGGCACATTGATGGAATTGTGGGGGAGAGAAGGCTCATTGATGGGGAGGGGCACATTGATGGGGAGGTGGGGAAGTGGGGAGGGAAGGCTCATTGATGGAGGTGAGAGGAAAGGCTGGCCCTGTATAGTTTGATCCAATAAAAGAGCTACTGGAGCTCAGATTGCTGGAAAAGTGAATGCTGGTTCCGATAGAAAGGTGTCAGAAGACACAGAGCTTCGCAGTGTGTTGTGTATGGGGCTGGGTAGCTGCAGACCGGTCAGGGTGCCCATGCTGACCTGTGACCAAAAGAGCCATCAATGGACACCCGAGTATCAGAACTGGTCACGGAGCAATGGAAGAAGAAGGTGTCCTGGTCTGATAAATTCAAGAATGGTTTAAGGATCACAATATGATTTTGAGGTGTTACTTGGCCTTCAAACTCTTCAGATCTCAATCCAATTGAGCTACTATGGCATGTGCTGGAAATGTCTGATCCATGAAGGCCCCACCTCCCAACGTACAGGACTTCTAGGATCTGCTAGTGATGTCTTGGTGCCGATACCACGGCATACCTTCACAGGTCTAGTGGAGTCCATGCCTGGATGGGTTATGGTGGGCAGTCATAATGTTATGGCTGATGGGTTTATTTCAGATCTCAGCAACGTCGGCTTCCTCTCACACAGCAGCTGTCTCCCGGCAGTCAGCGTCCCCAGACTACGTATCAGCCGGGACAAAGCTCTGCTAATTCCTTTATTAATTTGTCTGTCATCAAACTCTCCTCTGAGTAAAACAGCTGGAAGTGACCTCGGTCCCAGGATACAACTAACCAATTATCACCACATACACAAAACAAAAAATGAGGGACGTTTCATGCTTCATTCTAATTGGCTGCTAAACTGAAGCGGAACATACTGTTCCTATACAATGGGCCGCCTTATGTGCCTTTTTCGCCCATAAAAAGCTTCTGCATCTTTCTTGGTGACAAGCTTAGCGCAATTTTTAACAGCGAGTTTTGCTGCGATTACCAGGCTATTCTGTTGCACAACAAATCGCACTGCATTTGGGGTGACATCAGGAGTAATGGCGCCAAAAGGAGGTTTGCATGTTCTGCCGCAATTTAGATAGGTGGTGATTTTGCCCGCGACTTCAAATCACCTTAGGCCTCATTTAGACACATAATTGGTAGGGGGATAAAAATGTGTGGATAAGCCGCAGTTTTAACGCCAATAACTGCCCCCCCTTAAGCTGCAATCGGCAGCAGAGAGGGGTGTTTATATACTGCGGTCATGAAGTGCAGCTAACGTGACTCAACATGTAGTGATTGGCGGGCTTGCGGTACACATCCAAGTCAATGGGGAAGCTCTGCGAATTCACCACAAAGCACACGGTTGTGGCGCAAATGTCTGCAATAAATGGGGTTAAAACAGGCAGTGTGGAGGCACTGCATCGCTTCCTCACTACCTGTCAGTAGCCTCTGGAGTGCGATCTGGAAGTGGATCAGGCTTCAGAGATGAGGGAGAATTATGTTCCATTCACACATGTGCGACTCCAAATTCGCATGCGACTTCATGTGTCCAATCACACTTGTGTGACTTGTCATGAGACTTTGGAGCCTTTAAATCTTATGTCAGCCCTGAAAATTTCCACTCGCCCGCTCACATTGGGCGAGAGGAAATAAGGTGCCGGCGAGCAGCGCCTGGACTAGGGGTGGGAGCAATTATAAGCACCAAACTCCCTGTATGGCTTTCAAGGAAGCACCTGAAATCTGCGTGAGGGACAGGAGAAGATGCGGCTTCCAGCTGCTTCATTGAAAGCCATACTGGGAGATCGGTCTTTGTAACTGCCTCCACCGATCGCACCGATCATCACTGATCCTTCAGTTTCTTTCTGGGGCCACCACGTGTGCTCCTCTATGCTCAGCCCCTCCCCCCATCCTCCGCACCAATAGGAGAGGAGAGAGGCTGGATGTCAGGGCTCCCAGGTATGACCAGAGGTGTGTGACTGACGCAGGGAAACGCAGACCTCAGATATGTTATAAACAATATAATTTATTAACACTAACAGTACAAACATAAACGCAGTGCAATACTAAACATAATACAGTGCAACCAACCACCCACAGATAACAGTATATACAAGCAAGCGTCGTCAGGCAGGCCGGGTCAATATCAATTGGGCAGGTAGGTACAGGGGGAGCAAGCGGAGAATGGTCGGGGTCACAGGCCAGGTTCAGCAGGTAGCAAGCAGCATAGTACAGAGGGTCAGGCAGAGGGATGGTCAGGGTCACAAGCCAGGGATCAGAACAGGTAGCAAGCAGCGTAGTACAGAGGGTCAGACAGAGGGATGGTCAGGGTCACAAGCCAGGATCAGAGCAGGAGAAGTCAGCAAAGGAACAGAAACAGGATGCAGGACAGATACAGGGCCCAGGACAAACACAACACCAAGGCAGAGTCTGCAAGTCTGGCCATCCCTTAAATACACCAGTATCATCAGTTCCAGGTGTTAGCTGGCTGAAAGGTTGAGTCTCTGATTGCTGGGAGCACCCGCTGGCCAGCCCTGGTACTGCAGATCAAAAGGCAGGTGAGTCCCACCATTGCTGGCCAGTCCATTCCTAACAGTACCCCCCCCTCAAGGAGCGGCCTCAGGACGCTCCAAACAGTCCTAGCTGGGCAAAATGTTCCACCGCCCGGGTCTGGCAACTGGCGGGATATCAAAGACTGGCACACCGGGCAGGACTCCGGGCAGCGGCACACCGGGCTGGACTCCGGGCAGAGGCACATCGAGCAGAGGCACACCGGGCAGGACTCCGGGCAGCGGCACACCGGGCTGGACTCCGGGCAGAGGCACATCGAGCAGAGGCACATCGGGCAGGACTCCGGGCAGAGGCACATCGGGCAGGACTCCGGGCAGAGGCACATCGGGCAGGACTCCGGGCAGAGGCACATCGGATTACCAGGCGAAGCGGCAGGCACCGGGCCCCCGGGCGGAGCGGCAGGCACCGGGCCCCCGGGCGGGGCGACAGGCACCGGGCCCCCGGGCGGGGCGACAGGCACCGGGCCCCCGGGCGGGGCGACAGGCACCGGGCCCCCGGGCGGGGCGACAGGCACCGGGCCCCCGGGAGGGGCGACAGGCACCGGGCCCCCAGGCGGGGCGACAGGCACCGGGCCCCCAGGCGGGGCGACAGGCACCGTGCCCCCAGGCGGAGCGACAGGTCTCGGGCCCTCAGGCGGAGCGGCGGGCGCCGGACCCCCAGGCGGAGCGACAGGTCTCGGGCCCTCAGGCGGAGCGGCGGGCGCCGGACCCCCAGGAGGAGCGACAGGTCTCGGGCCCTCAGGCGGAGCGGCGGGCGCCGGACCCCCAGGCGGAGCGACAGGTCTCGGGCCCTCAGGCGGAGCGGCGGGCGCCGGACCCCCAGGCGGAGCGACAGGTCTCGGGCCTCAGGCGGAGCGGCGGGCGCCGGACCCCCAGGAGGAGCGACAGGTCTCGGGCCCTCAGGCGGAGCGGCGGGCGCCGGACTCCCAGATGGAGCGACAGGTCTCGGGCCCTCAGGCGGAGCGGCGGGCGCCGGACCCCCAGGTGGAGCGACAGGTCTCGGGCCCTCAGGCGGAGCGGCGGGCGCCGGACCCCCAGGAGGAGCGACAGGTCTCGGGCCCTCAGGCGGAGCGACAGGTCTCGGGCCCCCAGGCGGGGCGGCGGGCGCCGGATTCCCAGGCGGAGCGGCGGGCGCTGGACCCCCAAGCGGAGCAACAGGTCTCGGGCCCCCAGGCGGAGCGGCGGGCACCGAGACACCAGGCACGACAGTGGGCTCCGAGTCAACTGGTATGACCGCAGGCACTGGGTCAGACATTGGATCGTCTGACCGGACAGCGGCATCGGGTCACCAGGCATCAAGTCATTTGGCTCGACAGCGAGCACCGCGTCATCTGGCAAGGCAGTGGGCTCCGAGTCAACTGGCATGACCGCGGGCACTGGGTCAGACATTGGATCGTCTGACTGGACAGCGGGCATCGGGTCACCAGGCATCAGGTCATTTGGCTCGACAGCGGGCACCGCGTCATCTGGCAAGGCAGTGGTCTCCGAGTCAACAGGCACGACAGTGGGCACCGGGTCATCAGGTACCGGATTGTCTGGCTCGACAGCGGGCATCGGGTCATCAGGTATGACAGCGGACACTAGGTCACCAGGCATCAGGTCATTTGGCTTGCCAGCGGGCACCGCGTCATCTGGCAAGGCAGTGGGCACCGAGTCACCAGGTACGACAGCGGGCTCTGAGTCAATTGGCACGACAGCGGGCACCGGATCAGGTACCGGATCATCTGGATCAACAGCGGGCATCGAGTCAACTGGCCTAATAGGATCGTCAGGCTGGATCAGTTCATCATGCTGGGTAGAGGCATCAGGCCGAGGAGAGGCTTCAGGCTGCGTACAGGCATCAGTCAGGCTGAACCACGGAAGGCAGGCTCACCGGTTTGGATACTGGCAGGATGGTATTGGTTGGAAAGAATTTTCGCTTTTTTCTGGTTTTAACTACTGGAGCACTGCAAGTAAACGCAGGTCTGCAAACGAATGGAGCAGCTGGAGACAGAGAAGAACTGGAGGATGGAACAGGAGAGGGAGCGGTTGCTACAGAGGGCTCTTTTACAGGGTTAAAGGCAGGATAGGTGCAGCGAGTGGGAACAGGGTACTGACATGCGGTAGATAGCAGGGCAGGAGGAGCTGTTGGGAATGCAGGAATAGAGTTTTGAGGAAATAGATTAGAAGCAGGACTGGGTCTTTGTAAGCTGACTGAGGCTGGGTGCAACAAGTCTGTCCATGTCTGCAGTATGGGTTGAACAAAGCTGAGCTTACACAAAGCCTGTCTGGTCAATGACTGCACTGCGTTTATACAATCTCTCAGTGTCTGTGGTGAACATGTGGAATAACGCTCCAGAAAGTAACCCACATCATCCTCTAATAACCACACCAGGGACTCTACCTGATCTGCACTAAATGGTGGCAAAAATTTATCCCTGCGTTCGGGGGAACCAGATGAAACCAACTCTGCACAAACCTCAATCAATGGCTGCACCTCAGAGAAATCTGTGCCCTGATCTACTAGAACATGAGCGAGCCGTATACATTCTAGCAGTTCATCCCGGGGATACTCCCTCAGAGTCTGATAAGCATACTCCCTGTCATCAAACACTAGCAGATATAAATACTCAACCTCATCCAGATCCATCCTTCCCATCAACAAGCCAAGATGGCTTCCCTGTGCAGCCACTTCTGGTCAGGGTTGGCCTTGGTGTAATGTCAGGGCTCCCAGGTATGACCAGAGGTGTGTGACTGACGCAGGGAAACGCAGACTTCAGATATGTTATAAACAATATAATTTATTAACACTAACAGTACAAACATAAACGCAGTGCAATACTAAACATAATACAGTGCAAACAAACCACCCACAGATAACAGTATATACAAGCAAGCGTCGTCAGGCAGGCCGGGTCAATATCAATTGGGCAGGTAGGTACAGGGGGAGCAAGCGGAGAATGGTCGGGGTCACAGGCCAGGTTCAGCAGGTAGCAAGCAGCATAGTACAGAGGGTCAGGCAGAGGGATGGTCAGGGTCACAAGCCAGGGATCAGAACAGGTAGCAAGCAGCGTAGTACAGAGGGTCAGACAGAGGGATGGTCAGGGTCACAAGCCAGGATCAGAGCAGGAGAAGTCAGCAAAGGAACAGAAACAGGATGCAGGACAGATACAGGGCCCAGGACAAACACAACACCAAGGCAGAGTCTGCAAGTCTGGCCATCCCTTAAATACACCAGTATCATCAGTTCCAGGTGTTAGCTGGCTGAAAGGTTGAGTCTCTGATTGCTGGGAGCACCCACTGGCCAGCCCTGGTACTGCAGATCAAAAGGCAGGTGAGTCCCACCATTGCTGGCCAGTCCATTCCTAACACTGGATCTACTCTGCCTCCTCCTGTGCTCGCCCACTCTCCAGTCCGCACTGTGCAGAAGAGGATGTGTGGGTGGGAAATTGTATACAAAGCAGCCATGTGATGCTTCTGACTTAGCCAGAGACCATCCATGTGAGTCCAACCTTCCTTTCCTCCTTCCTTCCCTCCTTCCTTTATTCTGCATAACATGAGATAATTCACAAGGGCGTGTTTAGGGGCGGGGTAGAAGTTGGGTGGGGCAACTGGTGGAGGGTAACTCTGAAGTCCTGGCTAGTAGCTCAGGATTTGAGATTCTAGTCTGTATAACTCAGGAAAGTCCCTTCTGTGGCTCTCAGTCCCCATTCAGATATTGTGTTGTGGGGAACGACTGTTCACCCCTGCAATGTTACAACCACGATTTCCACGTGTCACACATAGGGCAGCCCATTCACTTCAATGGGCTGCCCTATGCACATTTGTACTGTGGACGGGTGGCTCCTGCAGGTACGTCACTGCCTGTGTGTGGGTTCAGGGCACCCACCAACACCCCCCCCCCCATTGGTAAACACTGTGATATTGGACACAGCAGGATTTTGTCAGCAGGTCCCAGCCAATGATTCGTGGCCGGGACCTGCTGATTAGAGATCGTTCCCTCTGAGTAAAGAGGGAACGTTCTGTCCCGGTGGTGATTAAATACCAACAAAAGAAAGCTCTGTCCATCTCAGAAAAAAGTATACAAATATAATTTGGGCACATGTGTTGCATGCAGGGGCGGACTGACAACTCATGGGGCCCCCGGGCAATAGGGGATCATGGGGCCCCTGTGTCCTTGCCCAAACTCCAAAAAGCCTATGAAAAAGGTACCAGGGGCATCTCATGGGGCCCCCTACTGACCGACTTATACATTGCGGGGAGCGCACCGACTCATACGCTGCGGGGAACGCACCGACTCATACGCTGCGGGGAGCGCACCGACTCATACGCTGCGGGGAGCGCACCGACTCATACGCTGCGGGGAGCGCACCGACTCATACGCTGCGGAGAGCGCACCGACTTATCTGCTGCGGGGAGCGCACCGACTCATACGCTGCGGGGAGCGCACCGACTCTTACGCTGCGGGGAGCGCACCGACTCATACGCTGCGGGGAGCGCACCGACTCATGCGCTGCGGGGAGCGCACCGACTCATACGCTGCGGGGAGCGCACCGACTCATACGCTGCGGGGAGCGCACCGACTTATCTGCTGCGGGGAGCGCACCGACTTATCTGCTGCGGGGAGCGCACCGACTTATCTGCTGCGGGGAGCGCACCGACTTATCTGCTGCGGGGAGCGCACCGACTTATACGCTGCGGGGAGCGCACAGACTTATACGCTGCGGGGAGCGCACAGACTTATCTGCTGCGGGGAGCGCACAGACTTATCTGCTGCGGGGAGCGCACAGACTTATCTGCTGCGGGGAGCGCACAGACTTATCTGCTGCGGGGAGCGCACAGACTTATCTGCTGCGGGGAGCGCACCGACTTATCTGCTGCGGGGAGCGCACCGACTTATCTGCTGCGGGGAGCGCACCGACTTATCTGCTGCGGGGAGCGCACCGACTTATCTGCTGCGGGGAGCGCACCGACTTATCTGCTGCGGGGAGCGCACCGACTTATCTGCTGCGGGGAGCGCACCGACTTATACGCTGCGGGGAGCGCACAGACTTATACGCTGCGGGGAGCGCACAGACTTATCTGCTGCGGGGAGCGCACAGACTTATCTGCTGCAGGGAGCGCACAGACTTATCTGCTGCAGGGAGCGCACAGACTTATCTGCTGCAGGGAGCGCACCTACTTATCTGCTGCAGGGAGGAGCGCACCGACTTATCTGCTGCAGGGAGCGCACCGACTTATCTGCTGCAGGGAGCGCACAGACTTATCTGCTGCAGGGAGCGCACAGACTTATCTGCTGCAGGGAGCGCACAGACTTATCTGCTGCAGGGAGCGCACAGACTTATCTGCTGCAGGGAGCGCACAGACTTATCTGCTGCAGGGAGCGCACAGACTTATCTGCTGCAGGGAGCGCACCGACTTAACTGCTGCAGGGAGCGCACCTACTTATCTGCTGCAGGGAGCGCACCGACTTATCTGCTGCAGGGAGTGCACTGACTTATACGCTGCGGGGGGCAGAATTGAGCCCAGGGTGACAACATAGGAGCACAAGGAGGAGACGGGGACCGAGTGTTGTCACCCTATAACAGGAAGTATGTGAACAAGGATCCTTCGTGGCAGGATCATCAAGGATTATTAATGCAGATGTAAAAAGATTCATCACAGCTCTCGAAATGGCATTAACATGGTAAGGATGATATGTTACAGATGGTGTGTCCCGATACTTTGTGATACAATTAGCGGTCCCTGGAAATCAGGGACATTCCCGGGGAGGAGGGCTGCAGACAGGTGAGGGAACTGATCCGGGGTGTTATTCTTAGGGATCTCTAGAACATGAGCAATAAGTGATCAGCTGAGCCGGAGGGCAGATGGGGCTGAGGGAAGGATGAGGAGAGACTCATGGGATAATGCAGCATGAAAATACCTCCAGTGACATCTGTGCCTTGGTATGCCCCTCATTAACCCTGTGTAACCCAAGAAGGACCCGGCTTCTGGGCAATGCTGGGAATGGAGAAGTGTCCACCTACACTGCCTGTCCCAATCCTCGGGGAGCCAGGGGCCAAGGTAGGGTGGCACCTGCCAGGCTAAGGGGGGCTGAAAGACACAGAAATATAGAAGAGCCGCACCGTCTATGAAGTCTTCTGGTTTAATATTTGGCCATTTGCACCTTTAAAAATCAATGGAGTGCAATGTGTGTTACATTCACCCCCCCCCTTTCCCGGTACAGTCAGTGCTGGACATTCACCAGTAAACATACCCCAACAGGTCGCTGGCTCTGCAGCTCGTCCATCCCAAACAAATGTTTTGCATTTTTTTTTTTTTTTTTGCAAGGCATTCTGCGATTGGAGGAGGTGTGCTTGAACATCACAATCTCTCCTCCTTCAATCATACAGCGCCTTGTATTCTATGAAAAAGAATCTGTGTTCTGCGCACCCCACAGACCGAATTATACATTTCAGCATGGGATGTGCGGCGCTGACTGTACAAGAGTCTCGCAGCAGCAGCTGCACACACTGGGCTTGATTTACTAAAGCTGGTGCAGCTGTGCGTGGGAGCCAATCAGCTCTGACTTGCTCAATTAAACTTTAGCAATAAAACCTGGAAGCTGATTGGTTTCTTTGCATAAAGCAGGCCATACTTGGGTCGAATTCCAAACGATATTTTCGAAAATCGAAAACATTGTTCGTTCTGCAATCCGATGGTGCTCCACCAATGATTTTGAAAATCGGTCATTTTTCACGAATTCTCCAGCATGCCCGATAAACGAAACGGGGAGGAACCTTGAAAATCAGCCGGTGCCATCGCCCCACTAACAGAGCGAAAATCAACCAATTATTCTTAGCTCCAATTTTCCAATAAAAGATCGTTCAGAAATCGACCCATGTATGGCTGGCCTAAGTGCAGGAGATTGTGAACCAGCTTTAGTAACCCCCCCGTGTTCAGCTTTGTATGTTTGACCCAAGCATGCTTCAACCCACCTACTACAAGTGACGACTACCTACCTCTGCTGGACATCTATCCCAAGCATCACCTCCTCTTCCACCAACACAATATCTGAGGGCTGAACTTTCCTCCTCTGGTTGGAGGTCTTCA